GAAAAATATGTTTTGGTGTGTGTGTGGGGGTGGGGGGGGGGATGAAAATGAAATGTTTTGAATGGCTTGACACTGAATGGGTTAGTCAGGACATTTGATGTGCGGCAACTCACAAAGAATCCACAATCCCTGTGGGACGACCACACCATCAGACCCAATTGACAAATGAACTGACTTGATTGTGTTCATCATACTGGATGATGTTTGTTCACAAAAACTAATTTGGCAACAGTGGTAACATCTGCACACGAAAACAGTGATAACAGAAGCATGCCAGCATTTCTGATTCAGACTAATCTTGTCGCCGAAAAAAAACATGTTGTTTCCAAGACAACACAGTAATTTGGAGCATGTAAAATTATGGAGCATACTATATACGTTTACAGATGACTGATGATGTACATTTTATGTTTAATGAAATTGCAAACAAAATACATTTGCACATTTGATTTAGCTGATCCAGTATTGTCTGTTGATTTTGAAAGATGACACAACCTTATATTTGGTTAAAGACCAAATGAACAACCGTACAGCGGTATCTGAGCTTGCATCTCTCACCACCGTGCAAACTAGTCCACTGCACGCCTCTCGTAACCTTGAAGAGCTGAATGGCAGACGCGACCCTCAATTTATCCCGGGCAGACATGGGGAGACCCCTGCAAAGTATTATCCCCCACAAAGCTGCAGGCCTTGTGAATGTTTCAGGGCGTGTAACAAGGGACTGTGCCCACCAGCTGGTCGAGGTGCTAACAGATATTTTCGATATCTTGCTTCAACTAGCATCCGTCCCAATGTGCCTAAAGACAGCCTGCCGGAGACATTCACAGTGACAAGTCTGAATGAGTCAGACAGCAGCACCCACTCCGATAGTCCTGAAGTGCTTTCAGAAGCTAATCATGGTACAGATGAAAAACTGGACTTCCTGACCAACAGACCATAGACTGTCAGGATCCACAACATCGTCTCTTTGCCGTCAGCACTGGCTAGCTCCAGGGATGTGTGCTGAGCCCCCTCCTGTTTACACTACTGATCTATGACTGCTCTGAAAAATCCCCAAGCTGTCATAGTGAAGCTTTCAGCTGACACAGCAGAACTGGGACGCCTCACAAACAACGAGTCTGAGTCCAAGCGTGTGCTGGCGTGTGGCATCGACTGTGTGTGAAGGAGACCAAGGAGATAGTGGTGGACTTCAGGAAGGACAGCTGCCCCCTCTACTTTGGCTTCCGGTCACATCCCCAAAACTTGAATATTAATTTGATGACTCAAAATTATCCTGAAATGGGCCGCTGAAGGTACACTTAACAGTTATTTCTCTTTGTATGTGGCCATATTTTTCTTTGAACTGGTTACGACTTTAAACAGAATTTCTTTGAGAAATTCTTCTCCTAAGTACAATGGGAAGGGTTAGTTTATCATGAAGCCAGATATTTGTCATAGCTGACCCACAAAATCACCAATAACAAAGACAAACATTTTCAGTTGAATGGTTACAGCCAGGGCGGCCCGGTGATCCAGTGGTTAGCACGTCGGCCTCGCAGTGCTGAGGGACCGGGTTCAATTCCAGCTCCGGCCTCCCTGTGTGGAGTTTGCATGTTCTCCCCGGGCCTGTGTGGGTTTTCTCCGGGTACTCTGGTTTCCTCCCACATTCCAAAAACATGCATGGCAGGCTGATTGAACACTCTAAATTGTCCCTAGGTGTGAGTGTGAGCGTGGATGGTTGTTCGTCTGTGTGTGCCCTGCATTTGGCTAGCAACCAGTTCAGTGTGTCCCCCAACTACTGCCCAACGACAGCTGTGATAGGCTCCAGCACCCCCCGCGACCCTTGTGAGGATAAGCGGATCGGAAAATGGATGGATGGTTACAGCAACAAACATTTGAAAAAAAACAAAACATTTTCTGGCTGAATGTGGAAATGGAGATGCAAAGACCAGAGACATAGCAGTTGTTCTTATAAGGGGAATTTGTTTATTTACAACACAGGGTGCTGCTCAGCATCTACAGTATTTTACAATGTTGATCTGCAAGGCAGCACATGTATACTGTACTCTATTTGGAAACCAAGATTGCAGTGCCACTACAAACACACGCTTGAAACAACATACCGGTAATCTGTTTTGTTTTTCTTTTTCTTTTTCTCTTTTTTTTTTTTTTTTTACAAAATGGGTACAAACACCAATACAAAATGCTTGTGCTGTTGACAATTTACAAAAACATTTTTTTTTTTTTTTTTAGACATTAGACACCTTTGCAATTTTCATAACTTTTCATCTCAAACTATGTGGATATGGTACGCCAGGACTCCATTTAGGTTCACCCTCGGTCATGCGGGTTGCGACACGTTTTCACGTTGGGTTGTTACCGTTATAGAACTCAAATCTGGCCATCAGAAAAAGACATGCAAAAAGCTCCAGTCGTACATTAAACTTGGTCTGTTTGGCGAGCAAATACAATATTATTTACATTTGGACTTGAGCAAGGAAACAACAGCCTTTGTTGTGGTGGCGACCAAAACCTTGCTCTCGAATCAGATGTGTCTATCGTCACAAATTGTCCACAGAGGAGTTATTCCATCTTTTGCCAGCTTTCCACTCAATTCAGGCTTTTAAACGGAATATTTCCTGACGGCACTCATGAATAGTTGCAGTTTTTCAACATGCAACATTAACAGCGCCTTGACCTGAAAGGTCAACAAATGTGTATGTGACATGTCTTGCTGTTGTGTTAGTCACTTAATTAGATCTGGATGTCAGCAAAGGGAGAATAAACATGTCAAAGAATGTCCCTTTGTCCTCTGAGACCGACTCAACCAGCAACAGGGCTGGTTGCGCTTTGCAGTGGAACAGCACTCTCATATATACACTAAGGCCTAGAGGAGTGTGTGTTGTGTTGTGTGTGTGTGTGTGTGTGTGTGTGTGTGTGTGTGTGTGTGTGTGCGTGCGTGTGTGCATGTGTGTGTGTGTCTTTTGGACTGTACAAGTCAGTTCAGAACAATGGGTGGCTTCACTCTTGTTGGAGCAGCGACAAGTATGGCTGTGTGAGCGCTCGCAAAACCGATCAGGTTCTCTTCACCATGGCTTTTTGGCGGTGAAACCTACCTCACCGACTTGTTGGTCTCACTTGCAGGAGAGTGAGAGCGAGAGAGAGAGAGAGAGAGAGAGAGAGAGAGAGAGAGAGAGAGAGAGAGAGAGAGAGAGAGGGAGAGAGAGAGTGAGAGAGAGAGAGAGAGAGAGAGAGAGAGAGAGAGAGAGAGAGAGAGAGAGAAAACATCACGAGGTCACACATGATTCATGTTGACAAATGTACAAAAAAAAAAGCTTCTGTATATACAGCATTTATGTGTCAGACACAAATCACAGATAGTGGAGAGTAACAGCTGTGTTTATTTTGTGAGGATATTGGGGAGGTGGAGGAGCAACCGGAAAGATAAGAGCTAATCCGATAGCATGCGTCCCTCCTTGCCTCTACTCTGATTGCACTTTAAGCCGACAGCGGTCGGGAAAATCATCGCTGACAAGTTCTGCACAGCAAAGTGCAATCTGTACCTGTTTGCCTCCAAAACAGGAGATTCTGACCCTGTTCACCTCGGTGATTATATCATGACCTTCTTTTGCCTTTGAATAGACATTTGCATTGGCAGGTCGATTGTTTCTGTTATGGCGCTCATCACAAGCGGATAAAAACGGCTCCATTTAGTTTCTCTTTTCTTGCAAAAGGAGAATTGTTGGAGGAGAAGCATCATTAAAGTTTTCCTCCAGGAATTCATCAATTCACAGTAAATCCAGTCATCTCGCTCCAAGCTAACCACAAGCGGAGAGAGTTTTCCACCCACTCATTTCTTGATCCTTTTGTATGTTTGAATAATTTAAGCACAACAATTAGAGCTCTTTATTTCAGTTTACCCTTGGAGTCGTGTAAAATATGATGACACAAGCCCATAAGCGGAGCTGCTCTTTCATTTAGTCTCAAGGAAACGTGTTCTGTTCGAAAATGTCTGTTCAAGAGCCCGTTTTAATGATTCAACTTGGATATAGTCTTTCATAGCTTCGTAACAAACTTTTGCTGATTCTAACTTCTTGATGAAAACTCTTGAACTCACAGCTAAAAAAAAATCAAGGGAACATTTCAGATGAATGTTGAAGTGCGTCTGAAGAGAGACAGATTGAGGGGCTGAAAAATCCCTGGCTGAGGCTCAAATCCCTCAAACTCTGTGAGCAGCAGCATTTTTTTTCTATTCAGACATTGTTAAGAAGCAACAGTGACTCAATCAAAATACGAAAAATAATAGCAAGGAAATGATCAAGGTATTGAAAAGGCATTGCATTTAAATTCCTCGAGTACGATATTTTACTTTGTATTTACCAGAAGGAAACGGAATGTAATCATTTTTGGTGTGTTGATAAACATGCAAACCTTGCAATCTTAAAATGCCAAGTATTTTTCATTGACCCTCATAAACTGGACGTGTGACTCTGGCACAGGTCGAGTCACGTGTTAAGTGCGAACAAAGTGAGCTCAAAACAAACACAGCTGCTAGCGAAGCCACGAAGAAACAAAGACACTTCTCCACGACAGTCCCGCCTTGGATTACTGTGATTTTTGTAATCACATTCAAGTCGGCTGCCATTTCAGGGACACACCTATATGATGGAAACATTTGTGGAATTGGTCCATTCTGGCCGGAGTACTGCATGCCTACATAACACGCCCTCGTTTGCCGGTCGGAGAGCTCAGCTGAAAGCAGCACCCGCACCCCGCGCAGCTACCACAGCCCATAAGACAATGGGTAGGTCGGAGTTAAAGGGTCAGGAAAATGGAAACTAATCCTGAGTTAGAGGGAGTCTGTTAAAATATGCACCACTGAAGGCACTTTTTTTTTTTTCGAAATGACAGTGCTTCTATTCTAAGTAATTCAAGTTCAAGAGAGAATAAACCAGCGCCCCCCCCCCCCCCCCCAACGGGGGGCACTGCGATAGCGGGGCTTCAAGAGAAAAAAACCCCGCGCCCCCCCCCCCCACCACACAGGAGGGACTGTCATATCAGGGTTCTTGTTCTTTTTTGTCTGCTACCCCCCAAGACAAAGATGCTCAAATTTAAAGCTTCTGCAGGGAGGCAGGCAGGGGCTGACAGTGAGTGGAAAGTGAAAACCGTCAGGAACAAGGAATGACTCTTGTTGTGGAGTGAAAAAGAAAACTGAAACTAAAAAAGCCACAGGGAAAAAAGGCACACACAAAAAACTCGAACAGAAACGACTGAAGCCAAAATCGGGCTTGAGTGTTCACATGAAAAATGACAATAACCCAGCAATTCAAAGCTTCTGTTTCAGCCAAACGTGGAACAGTGCCAGACTTCTGGAGTTTCGAGTCTGATTTGGTTGATCGGTGTTGACGGGACAGAGAATGGCAGGCCAGCGGACAGGGCGAGGGTGTCGTGAGTGTGTGTGTGTTCCTGTGAGATTTAATCCTCTTCCCCCCCTCCATACATGTCGGCCAGCTTCTTGAAGCGGGGCCCCCAGTCGTTGAGGTAGTCGTAGTCCTGCTCCCCCGTACTGGAGGAGTTGAGAGAACTGACCGATCCTGTGGTGGAGCCGCTGCCCTCATAGTCGAACACAAGCAGAGAGTCATAAGGGGGCGCAGTGGGGTCATTGTCAGCTGCTCGTAGCCCCTGAACACAAGCAAGATTAAAAATGGTCAATTTTCATCCTTAATGGCGCATTTTATGGAAAAAAAAAACCAACCTTTTAATAGCTTGTATACAAAAAGTTCAGATTCTGAAGCGCCTGCCCACTCACTATTTGTGTTCATGGCTTGGTCATGAAGTATTGCACCCACAAGGACAACTAATCAATGCTGCTTCGCAGTCACAATTTGCGGCAGCCTAAGTGGTCATGGTAACCAAATTCATAATTGCTATTGCCATAGCAGTATAAGGATGCGACACTCACTTGTAAAGTCAGGGCAATTTCAACGAGACAAAAAAATAAGTGTAAACTGTCTGCCATTTTGTACTTTAACAAAAGCATGTCACTTGACGTATTGATTTTTTTGCACAATGACATATGCAACTTAAATGTTGCAGGCAGAAATGCTTTTTCTTTTTATGACAACTTTCTTTTTTAAAGCCAAAATGTTTATATACGGCTTAAGGGCTCTTCATTTCACCATGCTTCGTCCACGGTAGTTTGACCCCAGTTAAGTAAGACCCACGCACAAGAAAACAGCGCATTTATGATGACTTTACTTCCAATTCAGAAACATCAATGTAAGACAATAGAACAACAAAACTAGTAAAAAAAAAAAAAAAAAAATCCAAGTAAAAATGCAGTATGTGTGTGTGTTTTTTTTTTTTTTTTTTAAATAATATGACCACAAGAATTCCTGAACGGTCCAGTCTCTCACACAACTCGTATGTCACACAGAATTTACCAGGGCTCAGAAATTCACAAGTTAATGGCGTCATAAAAATAATTTGGAAAAGTTTCCGACAAACGTGTAAAGTTTTAAACATATAGCTGTAGGTGTTGAAAGCAGCTGCGGTGTTCTTAAAATCTAGTTCATTTAATGTTTTGCTTTTTGTCCGCAGTTATCTTTTTTATGTCTGCTTCAGAATTCACTTTTGAGTTGCGTGTAAATAGTAATGGTGGGAAAGTGAAGCTTCAAGATGATTCATGAACCAGTTGTTGTATTTATTGATGTTCTTAAACCAACATTTTTGTATTCAGAAAGGGAGCTGTGCGTGAATAGCACAAACAACATAAATCTTGATTAAGTTCATGTTGTTTTAGATGTCCCAGCGGCTTCATGAATTATCTATAGAAGTGTGTGCTTTCAGGCAGTGCTTAAACGGCACCTGCTTCTAAGAATGACAAATGAGGGCCAGCGAAGAGAAGGCTGGGCAGGTGACGGAGACTCCATCCCCTTCACGGAGAGGCAGTGGATAGAAATCGAAAACTGCCTCCATCCCATGGGACCCAGTGGGTGGCAGGAAAGCAGCGCGTTTGTTGTGTTTGTGTTTTACCAGGAGGCTGGAGCAAGATCAGGCGTGTGTACGTTTCGTGTTTGTGCATGTGCGTATGAGAGACAAGGTTGGATGGATCAAAGCTGAACAGCTGCCAACACTTCTTGAGTGTGAACATGATGTCACAAGTCTGTCAATCAGCATTTTCTCACATCAGAATGCCGACATTCAGGTTGCGTGTGCGCATGTGTGTTTATGTTTGTGTGAGTAAAAATGCAAAGCTGGCGTGAAAGTTGTAAACGAGCAAAATTCGTCCTTGCTGTGGCCATATTAGAGACAACATATTGAATGTGAGAAAGTAGGGTTGAGATCGATGGTTAATGAAAGACCACTCTGCTGAGGGGAAACAATCGAACACTCAGCAGAGCTCTTGTGCATTCAGGTCACTCTCATTCAGGTTGCATGTATGTGCGTGTGTGTGTGTGTGTGTGTGTGTGTGTGTTCACCTCATGGATAAAGTCCCCGATGTCACCGGGGTGAGGCACAACAGGCCTGATCGGGTACTGGGACTCTGCGATAACGGGTCGTTCGTCCACCCTGCGCACACCGGGTGGTTTGTTGATGATGTGCTCCAGAGAGTCCGGCTGCTGCAGCTGGCTGAGGTCATAGTCCTACACAGCCGCGGAATGACACAGAGGTAATCAGGGTACAGGAGGTTAGTTGAGAGTGCGGAGGTGAGAATGTCCTCTCATGGGATCTCACCTGGTCCTCTTCTCCCCCTCCCTCTTCATCGTATTTCAGTATGTTGTCCCTGACATCATCCTCGGGGTCAATGAGCAGCTGTTTGGTGTGCCTCTCCTTCTCTCTGCGCTTGATCCACACCACAAACAGCAAGACCATGCCTGCGAAGACACACAAACGCACACATTGGATAAGATGTCAAATGTGTATAAAACAATCAACTTGAGATTAGTATTACTATCGAGAATGCCAGCCACCATGGGAATACGCAAAATCCTGGACTGCTCCAGCAAAATTCTGTGAATAACACTCAATTTTTTGCCCTCATCCCCCCCAAAAAGGTTGCAAATCAACAGGGGGGCTTTGTAAGAAACACCATTTTTTCACATTATTTCGATGTTTACCAGTACCTTGGCAGTACCTTGGGGTTGTAAAAAAAACATTGAATCACTGATTCATAATGCATTTCGGAAAGGATGGTTATTAAAGCCATCCAATAAAAGTTGTTTGAGTTTCATTTTCATAAATTACTTTGCTGTTTTTCTCATGAGTGTGGCCAAGGAGTTTGGCTCTGGTATCATAGTAAAAAAAAGATGCTACAGTAAAATACATACACGATTGTCAATGGACTGTGACAATATGCATCGTTTTCTTTCCTGAAGTAGGATGTAAGGTAGCTGTTGTTGGTAACACGATCAAAGTAAATACAGTGATTTAAGTCTATCCAGAGTCAGTCGTTTCTGGCAAGGCTGCATGAGCTGGAGAGGACAAAGACGAACCAATCACAATCTTTCACATTAAACGTGTGATGGTGTGTACGGCATGTCAGAGAGCCGCAAGGTGTTGTGTGATATGCACAGCTGATACTCACTGAGCAGAATAATGATGCATATCAGGATGGAGATGATTGCGCCGGTTCCGAGGCCGGCGGCTGCCACAGCGCCCACGGTAGTGCAGTCCCCGTTCGGATCGCACGGACACACTTTTACTTTGATGACAGACCTGTTGGACAACGTAGGGTTTCCCGAGTCGGACACGGTTATCGGCACCTCATACATGCCTGGCTCCAAATAGACCTGGTATCGCAGACTGAGGCGGGCATAGTTGCCTGCGCAGAGGAAGGAGAACAAGACCAAAGACGTCAAACATTTTCATAACATAGCAACCAACACCACAAACTTTGTTCGGTACAACCCTCCGTTTGATATATTGCTTGCCTTCATTTGGGTAAAGCTGGAAATTAACTTAGCTGACTTTGGGCAGAAGGCGGTATTTTGTACTCCCGAGCACATATCGCCAAACAACCATTCACACTAAGAGTCACATTTACACTTCGGGGCAATCTTCTAGACCGGGGATCGGCAACACGCAGCTCCAGAGCCGCATGCGGCTCTTTAGCGACATCTAGTGGGTCCTTGGAGCTTTATAAAAAATGTTTGAAAATGGCAAAAGATTTTGATAGTAGGCTAATATAGCTCGAATAGATATAGATACATGTTGCAGCTCCGAAAAAAGGAGAGCTGTGGTGTTGGTTTTTTAAAACGTACACTTTATTTATGCTTTTAACAGTCTCGACAAACACAGACACATCTGTGTCCGACTCCATGCCTTCTCTCTTCTCGTTCGACTCGAGAGGCGTTCAAAGACAGCCTCTGAAAAACGGAAATTCATGATCACTTCACTGACACTAAGAAAAGCGAAAATAATGCACCAAAACAAAAAAATCAAGTGAGGAAATCACAAAATAAATTCGATGGGGGCGTTTGTGAACACACAACAAAGGAATGAATAACAAACAATTCTGAGACAGTCCAGTCTCCTACGTACATACAGCATGTGTTTCCTTCATTGTAAGTTTTATAGAAAGCGTTTATTTTTTTGCGGCTCCAGAAATATTTGTTTTTTGTTTTTTTTTTTTTGTCCTATATGGCTCTTTCAACATTTTGGGTTGCCGACCCCTGTTCCAGACCAATTAATACAATAAACATGTTTCTTGGAATGGGGAGAGAACACGTTCATACCTGAAGAGAAAGCAGACTCCAAACTGCTTGACTATCAGGCAGATGTGCTCATCACTCGGTCAATGTGCTGCCTCATTAATTAGAAATTCTGCCTTTACAGTTAACGAGGCACTATATTTTAACTAAACATATCTTTTTAGTAGAAGTCAGTGTAAATCTTTGTTCACCTGACTTCTGTACATGTAGCGCGAGTTCAATTCTTACTCAGGTGCGGTGTGATTCTGAGTGGGAAAGGTTGCGTGCGCTTGATTGACTGGCAACCAATCCACAATGCAGTCTGTCTTTCGCCTCAAGTCAGATGGAATGAGCTCCTGCTTCCTACAAAGGTTCTAGTTATTCTCACAATTATATCTATGTTGTTACAATATTCCTGCTCTGACAGTGTCAGTCAAAACTGAGCATTGAAGTATTTGCAAAGCAATAATATTTTGCTTCAGCTCTTGAATTAGTGACAATAAGACAACCTCATAAAGAGGCCAGTGAGTGTGCATGTCGGGTCATCGTGAGGCATGAATGCCATATTTTTTGACATCTATTTGGATACGTTTGGTTTTCCTCTCACCACTGATTCGTGTAATCGTCCAGTTGCGTCTGATGCTTGAAGGATAAGTCGGCAGTTCAAAGACAAAAGGCCCAGCGTTGGAGTCGGTGTCAGCGTCAGCGGCGGTGATATTGATGCCGTTGACGTTCTTGTTCATCTGCTCACAGATCTGTGATTCTCTGGGTATGAGCACTGGAGGGTTGTCGTTAATGTCTATCAGATAGATCTGCAGTGTGCCGGTGCCACTGGCTGCAGGAGAGCCTGAGAGCAAGAAAGGAGGGAAGAGGGAGTGTGGAGAAAATCAGATCAATTCAGAAGGAAAATATACCAGTAGAAAACGTGTGCTGTGAAAGGGGAAGGGGTGGGAGGCGTTATTTGGCCCAGCAGTTTAAAGCTGACGGATTGGAGCCAAATAGCAAAAAAACTGAAAATAATAAATAAAAAAAAATATATATATATGCAGACGAAGAGTTGAGAATCCTCAGCAATGATGATGTTGGTGGAACGGGAGGAGAATTTCTCTGTGTGACAGAAATACTTTTGACAGTGGTGCTCTCAAACCCCTCGCTTCGCCTCGCAGGCAAATCAAACGCTTCAGGGTCGATGAAGATGCGGCTGCAGTTCATCCACTTGCCAAAAGATGCACATAACGATGACTGTAACACCATCAAACAAGTCCTTGCCTGTGCATGTTTATGCAAAAGTAATAAGGAACCCTACGAAAAAGCATGCCTGTCTGATTTTGGTAGTATTTTCTAGTCCTTCATTCTCACATCGTACACAAAAACCTGGAAAACATGACTGTCCTTAGCCCAGGGTCTGGGAGACTGCACACTGCACTCGTACCAGTGTACACTGTTCACTAGAAGGCTCAGTTTAGGGCACTGGATTTTCTTCTTTAAAGTAGCACCGCACGTAACATGACACAATGAAGGCATCAACTACCACTACTACTAAGATTGTTATCATTTATGGGGGCAAATAAGCTACAATCCATTGTAACTGCTAAGCTAATCTTGCGAGTGTGTTTCATACACGCACCATTACGACTAAGACTGGAATCATTGCCTTTGTGGCCGCAAATAAGCTCCAAGCCAATTGCTAAAATAACCTAGCTAGTGTGTTTCGCACCGCAATAGTTTGCTTCTCTCTAGAATGTCAATTTAAGAGATAAAAACGGGTTGATTCTGTAAAAAAAATGAAAACCAATTTTTTTATATTGTCATATTTTTATTGTTGAATAAAACCCTTGCTTCAGGTCCCAGGAAAAAAATGTGCTCCACAAAATTAGAAAGTTGCTCCTCAAATTAAGCCACTGATTTTCAAAATTGCTCTGCAAGAAAAAAAACAATTTCAAGCCTTGAACATGAAACACTTTTCAGCCGTATTGACATACAGCCCTCCCTGTGCTCGTGACTGCATTGCAGAAGCACTTTAAGCACCAAGACGTTTCAGTAAGTTACGTATCTTGCATAAATGTACTTAAAATAAATAACTTTGTTGACCAAATTGTTAATCATTTACCAGTCAATAGTTTTTTTTGCCTTTATAAATTTAAAAACCTGCAAAACCGCAATGTTGAATATGATGTGGTTCAACATTTTGGTTCACATAATGTTAATGCTTGCGCCAGCAAGAAAAAAAAGTTGGACGCACCAATGCAACCAGTGCAAATAGTCTTGACTCCTGACTACAATAATGAATTTCACTCAAGACACACTGAAGGTCAGATGGACGACATTAGAGATGAAATTATTACCTGCAGTTCATGCTTTATGCCAACGGAAAATTATCAAGCATCATAGCCATTGCTTGAAAAAACTCACACCAAGGAATGCTGCTGGTAATCAAGATGAGGCAGCAAGGGAAGGAAGCAGCTCTCTTTGTTTTTTCCCCTACAGTTGTTTAGTGTAATTTTACTTGGATGGATTTCGTGGCAAATTTGTCATCAAGATAAGTGGCAAGTTAATGTTTTGCTGAATGAGACTGACACTTTGTTTCACGGCAATCATTGAGGAGAACGTGTTTGATGCACAATGGCCGTTTCAGCTACCGAAGTATACCGGTTACACAATGCATTCCACACTAGTACGTCAAAGACAAAAAGGCAAAACTGTTAGATACACTAAGAAACAAACACAATCATTGGGAAACACACGTACACGTTACGCAATTTCGCTGCTTTGCTAATCCCAACCAATGTAAGGAGGAGCGGGTGGGTGGGGGGGGGCACAAGAAGAAGCAGCTTGCCACGGTTGATAGGAGAATTATGTGGGTTTTAACCAGCTAAATAAATAATTATGTTTGTGTAAGTTCCTCAAAAGGATTTGTACTTAGTCCTTTCTGCGACAGCGGCTCGGGCATGTTGAGGCACGGTGAAAAGATGATTGGTAAATTTGGCACGTGTCCTGCAAGTCACATATTTGCACATAAACAAAAGGATCAGGAAGTACTGCACGCGTCCACGAGAATGTGAGGTGATAAGACTGTGATTGGGCGAGACTTGAAATCACGGAGATACAGGTGCACCTTGCATCCGGCTGTCACAACCTCCCCACGTCTGCTTTTGCTACTCACCGTCTCACTGCACTTCTTAATTTTTCCCTAATCCAGCTCATCATGTGATGGCTGGCACATCAGCTCCGCCTACAAAGCCAACATGCACGTAACCCTGAAGTGCTGGCGGCTCATGTTTGACTCTGGCCCCATGATCGAGAACATCAAGTCATAACAATGTCACTTTTTTGCAAAATAAATTTGACATTAATCAACGATGTGACTGTGGTCTTGCCAGTTGACTGGCTGCTGCAAGAAGGGCTTCATACAGCAATGAATTTTTAAAGAACTTCTTGTTGCCTCAAGGAAATAGCGAAGGCTTTAATATTGAATGAAAGGACCGGGAAATAACTGGGAAATATTAAATTGTCAGCAAATTAGACGTCTCTGAAGTCCATCCTATTGATGGGTGTCAAAGTGGGTGCGAGCAGCAGCGGCGGCAGCAGGGTTTTACACGTTCTAACATTTGTTGCAATACACAACTTGATATATTCTTGTTTCCAGTGAGCACATTCAGACTTGCATGCACTATAAAATGAACCAGCATTTCAAAGTAAACTAAACTTTAGGTAAACAGCCAGCTGCACATCACCGATAAGGCAATTTGGAAAAAAAGAGAAAGCAGTTGGTTTTAGTCTGCACACCCACTTGAGAAAAGGGCAAACATATTGGTTTGCTGTGATTGAGTTTGCGCTCATTTAAGCTCGAGGTTCAACTCTGAGGCAGAACAAATGATATATATGCCAAATGGATTGTGTGAGAGGGAAAGAGAGGGGGGGAGCATGCACAGCCCGCCGATAAGAGAAAAGAGGAGAGGATCAGCTAGCCAGCTGCATGAATCGCGGATGTACGCTAACCCTCTCGCTCTGCACAAGACATCTTTATGACGTCATGGCCTCAGTTGCCTCACAACCGACCCAAATACCCAAATGAGAATATGCAAATGTCTGCAATAACCAGATGGGAAAATGAAGGCATTGGCAAAATATAAAGCCAAACGGTGGCAGGGTTTTCACTTTTTGAACCTGGATTTGCCACCTCTGGTAAACATTTATTTCTGGCAAGTGCTAGTATACATTGATAGGAGTAAATTGCAGTAACTTTGATTGCAATTGTCTCCATTCACCAACTACCTACTTCCTGAGCTTTAAGTTCATCACGGGATTTTACCCAATTTACACAATCTATACATCATTGGAAAACATTTCGAATAGCTTTCAGGAAATACTGTATATTTTGCTCACTTTGTAAACAGTGACCCAATTGACCTGTTTTGTGCTGGAGGGCCATACGTAGCATTATCTGTGTAGCACCAAACATAATTGAAAATAGGGATGGACATCATTAAGATTTTAACCGTAACGCAGTGGCGGACCCTGAGGGCCAGCAAGGCCTTCTCTGCTGGCCTAAACATTCTCAGAAAAGTAAAGTTACTTTTATGTATTTTATGTTATTTTATAATTTATGTTATTTTATTTTCATAAATATGAAAACGAAATTATTCTCTGTATTCTTTACATTATATGATTTCCACTTAGTTGAGTGGCTTTCAATGTTATTTTAAATAACATTGAAAGCCACTCGATAAATAACTTATTTATTATGGTAGAGTTTTTAACCAATCATATTTCAGCTAGCTGTATTGCCAGGTAAATTAAATTTGCTCGGGGCCTTCAGATTAAACAGAGCAGGCCCCTGTGCGCTGTAAGTGAACGGGCACAGTCAGGTTTCAATAGCCAATCAGATCACGAGTCTCAGACTCGTGATCTGTATCCTGTATCCTGACTTGTTCTCGTCTGCGTACTAGGGCTAGCGAGAAGGCCTTACGTC